ACATTTTTCCCTCGCAAAGGGGGGGGGGGGCAGAACATGTACACCGAGGTCTCGCAAGCACTCACCTAGGAAGATAGTCCCACGGGATGACGTAGAAGTAACCATATGAGAGGTTACTACAGAATGACCACCTGCGTAGGCAGAAAGGTTAGGTCGCACATCAGTCAAATAATATTAAGGAGAGTGGACTATGAAGTCGCTCCTATTGCCTAAGGGCTAAGGTGTCGAGCTGATAAAGACCTCGACACAACCTAAGACCTAGCCGCCCCTTTGGCATGGGCAAAGTCAAGAGTAAGGAGAGTGGACTATGAGTCGCTCCCTAGGCTTAAGGGTTATGGTGGCAAGCTGATAGAAGAACTCGACACCACACAAGACCCAGTTGCTTCGGCATGGGCAACCTGAACCCTAGTCGCTTCGGAAGGGGTAACCTAAACCCCAATCGCTTGTCCAGCAGGGGTGAAATAAAAAAGCAGTTCGTGTTCATCGGTGTGCAAACATGTCGAATACCTTCCCTACAGTGTTCGCACCCCTCAGCTTACATCGACCTCGGATTATTCCTAACTATGCCCAGCCCACCAGTTCGGCACCTCGGGTGAATTCACACTTAGAAAATTTTTGGAGAAAAAAAAAGAGAGAAAAAGAAACGACGGAAGGAAGATTAATTCGGCACAAGAAAGAAAAACAAAGGAAAGACCAATTCGCTTTTAGCATCATGACAGACGCAAACTTGGCCGTTCTCTTCATGGTTGACCTCCACCTCGGTTCCTGGCTCCACATCGAACTAGCTTGAGAAACACTGTGTCAAAGTCTACCTAGGTGGAGTGACCTAATAAAACAACCACACAGAACCGCTTCTTGAGGATGACATGATGAGCTTCACTCTTGAGGTACTTAGTTGGATTATAGAATCCCTTGATGGTCACATCCTTAATAAGGTAGATGTCCTCGGGGTACCTGCTTCACCTCTCCTCGAGCAGATGAATTCGCTCTCGTGCCCCGATAATCAAGATGGCGAGGTCCTGCGTAAGGCTCTAAACACTCGGACTCTTCTGACCTGAGAAGCAAATTAGACCAATGCTTACAACTACAAGCTTATCGAATCAGCCATTCCGGGCCAAAATGAGCGATCTACTCCCTTCGCCGAGCTACTTTCAGCTCGGGAGTGGGGGGCAATTGATGAGGACGGATTTGGCCATCCAATTACATTGTGACACATGGCATCTCAAAATAGCTAGATGACACCTAGACACCACCTAAGTGATGATTTGGAGTCTCATATCGCAGCTTGTCTTTACCCCGACATGGCGACCTGCCTTTACTGCCAACCTGGCGACTTGCCTTTACCGCCAACTTGGCAACTTGCCTTTACGCCGACCTAGCAACCTCGACCACAACTTTGGTCGGCTTGTAGCACCTTGTCCAGGGTCAACCTGTAGCACCTCGTCACCGGTCGAAGTGACCTCGACGTGAGGAGCGACCTTCCTCAAGGGCTTGCCGACCTGACTGGGGACCAAGCGGTGACCTGGGAGATGTGCTCACCGACAAATTCGGCATGCATATCTTGACACTCCCAGGTTTCTCAAAAGTTGGCCCACATACCAAATGTTCCGGAGGATGGTCAACATGCATGGCGATTACCTCTGAGGATCTCAGACCGGTTAGGCACGACCTCCCAGAAATCTCGGATGCAGTGCGTAGGCCCACACCAAACAATGCCTATATAAAGGCACCAATCCCAATGGCACAAGAGAGAGGCGAGTGAGCACATTCTAGCTCTCATACTTTTTGATTTTTTAGCTCGCGATCTACTACAAGAGTACTAACTTAATCGTCGGAGCGGCCTCGCCAGGTTAGCCACCCCGGTTCCTCTAACATTGATTCCTTGTAGGTTTCTCAGAAGAGCTACCTAGCTCAGCAGTCAATCTAGCTCGTCACCCAATCTACCCCCACCTTAGCATCCAAGTCCTCATCCAGCAAAAATCCTCCACTTTGGCCTTTGAGTCTTTGGCCACCTAGAAGTAGTCCGAACAACAAGGTGCTGGCAAAAATCCCTTCATCAATCTCTACCTTCACAACCCCACCAGAAGTCTTGGCACATTGAATGAAAATGATTGGCATCAACTTGGAAAATCAAAGAAGTAGAAAGAGTATACAAAGGTAGAGTCTCCACTACACTCTTTAGTAGTACAATTTGACCCGCTTGAGAGAGCAATTGTGATTTCCAGTTTGATAGTTTTGAAGGAACATTGGCCAGCACTTCCGTCCAACCCTTGATCCTTATTTCGCCTCTTATCATAAAAAAGGAGCCTAAGTAAAAGATTAGTAAATAATGATGAATAAAAGCTATTTTAGGCACAATGAGGCTCTACCACATATTGATAATGATAGGGATTATAGCTGATAAGGGCAACTTTTGGGCCCTAATATCAATAAAAATAACTTTTTTAATATAATTTCTAAAATAAGATAACTTTTTAAAATATATATCAAGAAAGGGCAAAAATATTGTTCATGGTGGCTCCAAACCATCGTTAAATTCTCTCGAGTTCATCAAATAAGCTGAGAGGATGCACATGGTGGCTCTAGCCAAGCTCAACCTTCTCGCCGAAGCTCATGGCACTACTACTACTTTGGTCACTGCTCAACAGCTTTGGCCCTTAATTCTCAAGCTCTCTTTCAGTAGATATGTGGGCAGAGGCTATACCAATCTAGTTGCCACTTTCACCTTCTTCTTCCTTCGATTATGGCTCATAGTTTTTCGAGAAGATCATGATACAAGCAATGACCGAAGATGGGAGCGAGCTCTTTGATTGTTCTATCAGAGGGCGACTGTGACACGCACCATCCAACCTGATGAAAAAAGCCTCCATGCTCTCTCCATGCTTTTGCTCTAGAGCTTTGCCATCTCTAGCTGTTTTTCTTTCCCGATCTCCTTCACCGTCGATATTTACTTGTATGGTCTCCGATCTCCTTCTCAGTGTTCTCACTGGTATTTGTAAAGCAAAAGTAGAGCTTGTGGGTCGAGGCAGAGGTGGAGGTGGACGGCGGATTGGCATTGCCAAAAGTGTTCATCTTCTTCTTTTTTCTCTCTCTCCCTCCCACACAACACTAAAGGCGGAAGCAGTTTGGAGAAGGAAGAAAATGAACAATATTTTTGTCCTTTCTTGATATTAGGGCACAAAAGTTGCCCTTATCAGTTATAATGTCATCAACAAAAAATAAATGATTAATTACACACCTACCTGAGCCAAAAGGGCAACCTTTCAAATTTTTGAAATTGATACCATTAAACAATAGTTTTGAGAGCACATTTAGATAAAAGAATGAATGGAGAGTAGGCATCCCTGTCTGAGACTATGTTGTGGGTGGATAGATGAGCATAGAATTCCATTAACAAATGCAAGAATAAATAAGATGATAGAACTTGTCAAAGAATTCTCTTAGTTGGAGCATCGAATTCCTTTACAAACCTCGTATAGGTTTCCTTACGTTTCCTTTCCTTTCCCTACCTTTTCCTTCAAACCAAACATAGCCTGAATAGTAAATGCCATTCCATACGATCATATTCTTTGGAAAAGTCTAGCTTCGTAAGAAATTCTCCCACCCGAACCTTCTTTTGTAATGAGTTCTATCACCCTATTATCAACAATTTGTCTCCTAGGAATGTGAATGCATGCTTGCTAGTAATAATCATGGTGATGATTTTGTAAACCATATACCAATGGGTCTAAACTCTAAAGTCAGCCATCCTTGAGAAGGCTCTAATAATTAGGGAAAATTCCTGATCAGTACCCTGTACTTTGGCTCGTGTGACAATTTGGTCCCCAAACTTTAAAATGAGACAATCCAGTACCTGAACTTTTAAAATGTGACAATCTATTACCCGAACTTTCAAAATGTTACAATCCAGTACCTGTCATTAACTAGTCCATTAATCAGCCATTAATTGACATTTGAAAAGTCAAAAATGCCCTCAGGATGCAATCTAATTCTCTTTATCAAGCATCCAAACATTGACAATAAAATGAACAATCCCAAATTCTAGATTCTTCTAAACAGTCACCAACTTTTTTGAATAGAAGAGGCTAGGATTTGGGGTGCTCAATTTTTTGTCAATGTTTGGATGATTCATAAAGAGAATTAGATACCATTCAAAGGGCATTTTTTTATTTTTCAAATGTCACTTAATGACTGATTAATGGACTAATTAACGATAGATACTGTTACATTTTAAAAGTTTAGATATTAGATTGTGACGTTTTAAAAGTTCGAAAGCACTGAATTATGGCATTTTAAAGTTTTGGGACTAAATTATCAGTCCAACCAGGGTACTCATCGAGAATTTTCCTTAATAACTATTATTGAATAATGTTGTGAATCAAATCATTTATGCAAAAAATCTTTTGGGTTACAAGTTTTGAGTTCGGATATGCTGACCGCAATCCATTATTGGCCACGTTCAGCTGCCCGTGCCCCACATTAGCAATATCTTTTACACTTTACATATATAGCAGATATTCCCGATGTGCGGATTGGTGGTCAGCAATATCTATCACAAATTTTAGTAAATGCTTGCAATGATAGGGGTGTTTTTAGTAAATGAACCTAAACAAGACAAACAAAGATCTTATATATGTTAGAAGTCAGAACATACCAAGGACCGTTACGATGGTAAGAACAAAACGACATGGTAATTTCTCACATAATCCGATGGACTGGTGCAAGTGCGACGTTCCCCCGGAACATGAAAATTTTACCGGTAAAATAGTCGGCAGCCGGGGTAGCTTGACGCAGCAAGACTAAATCCACATTGTAAAACACGTGTGGATCCCTTCATAACGTTGGATTGGAATTAAAGCCCATACGATCTAAACATTAGATGAACCATTGAAATTAATCTGACGGTTCAAAAGAGATAGCTTAAACGGGCGGCATCGGGCAACCTAACTGGCTTACTGTAATTCTGCACGGAATCGGTTTCCTTCCTATTATAATGTAAATCAATGTCTGCGATTACGACCTGTACAAGTTTCTCTCTCTTCTCCATGTTCGGTGAATCCAACTCATCGAATCAATTGCTGGAGACGGCTGAGGCCAGAGAAGAACAACGAAGCACGCAGTCGTCGAAGAGGCAGCGACTGAGACAAAGGGAGAGAGGAGAAGGAGATGATGTCGAATAAGATTTATTGGCAATTAAATTGTGGTGGAGAAGACTTGGGGGTTGACAACTGTGGGATACTCTAAAGTTTTCTTTCCGGTCATGGAGGTTGAGGTTTCTGGTTCGAAACTTTTGTCTGTTGAAAGTTCTAAAAGGAGGGAGAAGGAGCAAATTCGCGTGAAGAGGGAAACCTTGCAAGCTGTGCTCGAGCAATGTCAGAGAGCTCTCGAATCACTGAAGAACACCGGCAGTGAGGACGCCGTCGCTGAATCGGAGGAAACTGATGAGGAATCTCCGTCTCAGTGCGGGGATTCTGAAACGGACGAGGTACGGATGCAATTCTTATAGATATTTGTTTCCGTCGACCTTCACATAGATTGAGCCTAGGTTTTAATCCTGTGTAACTTTATATATCCGATCGTTAGTAAACGCAAATCACTTCAGAAAAATTTCTTCCGATTCTGCGGTTCAATTTTCTAATAAAAACTCCTTGGTTTTGGAAGGTTTGGTTGTTATAATATGCGAACCCCTATTCTTTGTTTATGCTCCACAGCTCGAATCATGGCATAACGTTGGAAGCCTTCACGTAGAGCAATTAAGTTGCTTTAGTTTTCTTTCTTCCCTTAATTTAATAGTGTACCTGGCGTAGTAGTTATTAGCAAGATGCGTGGTCTCAAGCGCATCAAGATTATTTTATTTAGTTACATTTATTGTCATTGGTCTATTAGTAGTTCTCAGAATGAAGTTTTAATGGAGTTTATGGATTTGGTTGCTACCGGATGGATATGGGATGCGCCTCATTGGTAGATAATTAGCAATTAAGCACATGTTTTGGGACCTAGAGACGATGAACTGATTACTGATATGAAGTTTCTGGTGCTGACAAATGGTCAGAATGTGTGTATGTTGCTCCTGGAAAATTTGTCTTTATTTTGACTACACACTGCACTAGTAAAAAGACCATCCACTGCAGCAGTAAGAAGAGGGTATTGTTTGAAGTTTCTGATATGCATTTCATTGATATCACATTGCGGTGCCACATGGTATTATTTGTGCCAGAAGAATTTGAAGATTGGAATTCATTCCATTTGGTCCTTGTTTTGCATCCACTATGAACATTAGAGACAAGGAAATAGTTTGTTTGGCATGCATAATTATTAGTTGTTAAATAGTAAGCCTAGGCCTCATACTTACCAAAAAAGCCTAAGCCTCATGTCATTACAATGACCACCCCAAAATTTTAGTCCATTCTCTTGCCGGTTCCACTTGACTGGTATTATTAAGAGTCATATAACTTATATTTGGTAGTGCAAATAGGAACAACATTATATTTTTCCTATCACTTTTTTTTGTGTTCAACTGAAGCAATCCATACTTAATTGTTGGTATCTTACATGCAAATAAGCACTTTGCTATGAAAATTGAAATATTTTTCTTGTTCATATTCAGCTATGTGATCTTCTGAAATCTAGAGTTGACTCCCCCGACTTTCTTGAAAAGCTTGGAAACGCCCAGGTGCCAGTTCCACAAAATATGGCCGGTATGCATCCCAAGATGGACTCTTCCCTGGTGGCTAGACCTGTTCATGGGCCAGGCTTTGGGTGCAACTTTACACTGTTTTGGGCTTTGGCTTTGGGCCGGGCCTGTTCAAATTTTAGAAAAAGTCAAGCCCGAATGGCCCATAAACATGTCTACTGGTGGCTTGTGGAAATTTTGGTTAGATACCAGTTTCTTTTAGAAGCTACCAAACCACCAAAATATGTAGGCCTTCTTTGTGCTTCTTTAAGTTTGAAACAACTTTATTATTTAGGATAGGGATGACTATGTTGTCCTGTTGCTGGTTTATACTCATGATCCATGATTTGTGGTATGTTCTGAAAAAGGCTATATTTTTATTGTAACAGAAGATGGTAGCTCTTGGGATTTGGTCAGTGAAAACGATATATGGGAAGGTGGGAACATTGATGGAGATATTGAGTCAGATCAAGATGGTTATGTTCTTGTTACACAAGAAGATATTGTGGAGGGAATTGCATGTTTTATGGCTACATATATGTTGTCCTTAAAACAGACGAAAGTATGTGAAAGTTCCCTTTCTATTGTTTTCTTCTGTTGTAGATTCTTCTTAGTAGATCTCTTTCCAAACATTTATGTTAGTTTATATTTATATTACACAATGCAGTGATTAATTTTAGCCAACCATTATGCTTGCTTTAATACTTTTTGGCTTGTATGACATTGGTATTGTATTAATCCTTAACTAAGTTAGACTTCTTTTCTGTTGGCTCAGCAACAAGTGGTTAATCCTCCATGTCATGTAAACTTAATGCTTATAAGAACAATGCTACATTGAAAACATGTGCATTAGATTTTGAGTTGCATTTCTATCTAAGTGCATTTTTTTTTACCATAGAACTCTCCTCTGCATTGGAGCTTTTCCTTTCTATAGCCCATGGTCATTCATTAAATACAAGTTTCTGCCTTACTAGTACCTAGTGATTACATGCTATTGTGTCTGTTAATCTGTGTGTCTTGAATATTTTGGTAATCCTCTTCAATGGATATCACCTATCTAACATCAATTGGTGTCTTCATGATTTTAGGACATCTGCTTCTTGAGTCCATTAAGTTTTTTTTTTTTTTTTTCTTTCTATATGATAATAAAGAAATTCTATTAATTTAGTAGAAAGGGCATGAATACCATAGACAAGCAAGAAACTATACCTTTTTCTGTTGATTTGTAATGAAAAATATTCCATTTAAAAATTATTTGTCAGAAAACAATTTACATAACAAAAGTTTTTACTAACAAAAAGGAAAAAATATGCCAGAAGCAAACAAATTAGATTTGAGTCTAAGAGCATGGGATGCAAATTTGAGTCTGAGAGCAGTCACTTTGTGCGAAAAATGGCCAAGGTTAGGTCCAAATCCAATCCGTCCTTGTCAAGATCATGTGAAGCTGGGACCAACATTGGGTAATGATCCTAAGCAAACAAAAGGGTGTTGGAGACAAGGAAAACAAATGACTTACAATGTGTTGCCCTTCCAAAAAGTTAGTAAGGCTAGCAAAATGGTATATCAATATGTGAAAGGATTTTTTTATTTTTTTCTGCATGGAAGGAAACTTGCAAGAAAAGTGTTTTTTGAGTTGGAGGAAAGAACCGCTTGTAGAATTTGAGGAAACTTAAACAGAAGCTAGGGATATTAATGGTGAAGTTGGATTTTTTTTCATATGAAATGGAGATATTACTTGCCTCCTTGATCACTTTCCACAATCCATCTGCAAAAATCACATTTCACTTTCCTTGTCCAACTTGACTAAAACCTTCTTGTTCTGCATAATCATTTGCAACACATTATGTTGAACCTCCTCCTATTTCATTCCCTCATTTCTTCCTGGTCCACCTTTGTCACAATCTTCTCTAAATATGTGGTTTTGCTTTCCATATGGAAACCCCTAATCCTTAGATAGCCAATACTAAGGATGTTCAAGTGCCACCTGTCATAGCAAGGGTCCTATTCTCAATAAATAGGATTAACCTGAGTCCGTTCTGGCTGTATATGGTTTACCTGCTCCCAAATTATAGACTTGTAGTGGATTTAATGGAAAACCTCATTGGGGTAGAGAACCGTCCTTTTATTCTGTTCCTTTTCCTTGTTTATTAATTATATTCTACTCAGATGGCATTTCCTGAGGAGGAAGCTTATCCACTCATTTTGATGATCCAAATATTTTTCTTTCTCTTTGTGGTTGGATACATGTAGCACGTCCTTGTCAACAGTGGTTACTCTTACAAAGTTGAAGCACAATCTGCCCACCCTAAACAAAGAAAAAGAGAAAAGAAGGGAAGAACTACATCTTTCTGCCTTCTTATTCACCTTTCCACCCAATTGGTGGTCGTTTACTTTTCAAAGTTCAATAAGTTGATTATTTAGCTATAAAAATATGATATGTTAAACATCTGTTTTCTAGCTGGCATAATTTGCTACCAATCTCTTGAATTGAAGTTCAGTTCTGAGACTGGGAAACCAGCATATAGAATAGCAGCTAAGGTATATTGTGCTTGTGTAGGACTTGATATATTGTGTTTATTTTTCAGGATTTGACTCCAAATCAACTCCAAGAAGGTTAGTTTGGTTTCCTTTCTTACAGAATGTTTTTAACGAGCATCCTTCCCAATACCCTGGATAGCCAGGACTAACATTGGGTAATGGTCCTTTTTACACAATGGAAAAGTAAAATTCCAATGGAGTTTGTTCCCTGATGGAAATGATTCATTTTATATTTTGAATTAATTAGTTTTTCAGTTAAAGAATTGAGTAAGATATCTGATACTTCTTTGTGCTTTTCTTTAGCTCTCAGCAAAACATTCTCTGTAAAAAAGAAAAAAGGAAAACTTCGAAAGGCATGGGATGGAAGCAAAGTTATTTATAATGTGGCGTCTTGGGGTGCAACTGCCGTTGGGTAGGTTATGTATGATTCAATGTAATTTATGTTTGATTTTTTTTAGTTTAGTTTATCTCTAGACTAGATTTGGTAGTTCTGAAGGAACTTCAACTTGATTGTGTTCCCTGTTGTTGTATATAATTTGACAAGTGTCTATCCTACATATCCTCTCTCTCTCTCTCTCTCAATCCTTTCATGAGATTCTCTTGAAGATTTTATTTGGTAATTTCTTATCTAGTCATCCTTATAATATGCTGCTTTTACCAAGTTATGTCATTCATTAGTGGTCTGATAAGACAGTTGTATATTGGGGCCATTGGGCTGGTGGGTCAGTGGTCGGTCATTGGATAAAGATTTGCTGAGGTTTACTTCTTCCAATTGAAAAAAGTATTTTCACTTCATTTTGGGGTTGGTCCAAGCTTTAGGTTTTGATGGTCGGTGGGTGGTAGCTGATAAGTGATAATTTTCGTACGATATGTGCATACTTTGTCGAGTACAAATTTGCTACTACAGTTTTTGTTTAGCATTCTATTTGTCACGGGTGTGCCTGAAATCTTATTTAACAATATATGTCTTCAGCCTCATTGTTTGATCAGTCTGCGGCATTTATAATTACACAAAATGCAATTTTATTGACCTCTGGATCTTTCTCTGTTCGTGTCTAACAGGATATACCAAAATCCGATGCTATTTAGGGCAGCTTCTGTGGCTTTTTGGACCTCATGTCGTGTTATATCGAAGCTTTTCTAAATCTGTATGTATGTTGCTACCATGGAGAATGCTTGTAAGTTCGCTATTTGTGTCGTCCTTCTCTCGAAACGGAGGCTGGGAAGATTGCACAATTTGTTTAATTGATGACGTCTCTGTAAGAATTAGGAATGTAGGATCACCCAAATGTAGTTAATTTCTAATTAGATATCATAAGCCGGTTGGTCTTCATGAACGTGCTAACTGACTCGATGGGGGTGTGTTCTGTTAGAGGTGAAGGTTCAAAGTATCTACTCAGGGCGTATAGGTCTGTATCGGTACTTTTTTTAAGTTTTATTTTTTATTATTTAAATCGATTCAGAGTGGTTGGTTTAAGTTCTAGCTGCTCTCTGAAATCATGACCTGATACAACTCTTGGAAGGGCATATTGAAAAGCCATTGACATGATATGTATTGGCTAATATGGGCTGATACATGTCGATATTTTGAATTTTACTGTAACTCTACAATTCACATTTGTATTGGTATCATGCCAATGGTCTATCACCTAAAAACACCACCCCAAGGTCCCCAATCTTGGGGCTTACAAGTGACAACGATAATTATCTTAATCTTGGACTCTGATGCCTAGAGAAAAATTCTATCCATTACTACTTTCAATTGGACCCTTATCATTGTCCAAAAGTGAATTATTGAGTCGCTTGGCTTGATTCACTGAAAAATGTGCCTACGGCGTAATGGTCCCAAGCCTTTCTCATTTGCTATTAATTCAACCACCTTGCAGACAATTACCAAGAAATGGACACTCCAGGCCAAGGGACGTGTAAAATGTCACACGTCACTCGTCAATCGTGAGAAATCCTGTCCCTGCAGCACGTACTTCCTCGTCGAAAGCAATGGCAACACCCAACAATGAACCCTTGTTTCGATACAGGAATAAATACACAAAATTGTGAGCTTATCACCTCTAACTATCACGTTGTTGGAATACATTATTTTCCCCTTAAATGATAACAATCATACATTTTATTAAAATTCAACTATCGTTGTTTCTCCTTACTGACGCTTGATTGGCAGGAAAATTTAGGGGGCGTTATTTTTTCGGATTTTGAGAGGAGGAAAGTTGGTTAATGGGATTTTGATTCCCATTGATCAAGAATTTTTTGTTCTTTTTTCAGATTTATATGGGGATCAAGGAAAGTTCATTTTTCTGGTTACTACTTACCTGGGTAACTTGTATCCATCTCCTAAGTGAGTATTACTTACCTGGCTAAAATAGTCAGTCTTATTTACACGAAAAATAAAAGAACATGGATAAATGCACTTACCCGGGTAAGTGTTTCCCAGGAAAAAACTTACCCAAGTAATTGCATTTACCCGAATAACTTACCAAAAAACAAACAAGACCTTATTAGTAACTAAATTGATAGCGTGGCAGAAAAAAGAATGAATAAAAAAACAAAATTGATAACGAAGATGAAGCCAAGACATCAAAAAAAGAATGAACGGAACCACGGTAGAGAATCGTGCAACAGGACAAACCAATTGAATTTGACAATAGATAAAATATAGATGACATTGACTATAAAGAATACAGATAATAGGATCAATTTCCCAGTACTGTTACATTTATATTAGGAAGAGAATATATTTTTAAAAGGAATTATCGAAGAAAAAAAGACAACCTAAGATGGTAGCCTTGTCAATTAGGATGCATCTGCAGGTTAGTGGTAATTATTATTGTCCTTAATTGTGGTTAGGGGCCTCCTTCCAAAGCATTGAGTGCACTTCAATGATCAATCAAGGTGGCTCAAGGTCCTTCTCTTGCAGTGTATTCCCAAGCAGTTGTTGCATCTGTGATGCAAAGTAACCATCCAAAGATGAAAGATCTGCAGTAAAATACAGAATCAAATAAGCCTCTTAAATGGTTTATGTACAGGAAAATTTATTAAATTTGATAAATAATCTACTAAATGCGAAAAAGAAAGATCAACATCAAGGTGTTTGTTTTTATTTATCTTTGTTTGGATTTCATTATTTTTGTTGCTATTAGATTTTTCTTGGTTACTATTTCAAATACTTTGTGACTTTATCCTATGGGTGATTGTTGTAAAGTCACAACACCAACTTCAAGCTGCAGAGCACATAGGTCGAAGAAAACTACTACCATTGACTTACCACAATAGAAATATGGCTAAACAAGTGGATTGACAACAAAGAATAAAGTAATGATTTAAGAATGGATATGACATCAAATAGAACAGATTAGTGAAACAAGATTCATATAACCAATCCCATTGGGATAAGGCTTGGATGATGATGATAATATGCTTAGAAATCAGTAGGATACTAAGGAGCAATTAAGGCACCGATTGATTTGGTAGAGAAAACCTAGGGTTGTAATTGGGTTTTATTCGTATTGGGTCCTGCCACATCCAATCTGATTTGAAATTCAGAATATCGGACTTACATCCAAATTCACTTTATTGTCATTAAAATAAAGAAAATTTAACTTTCAAAAAATTAATTACTTTTTACTTATATGACAAATTTATATTTATATAAATATAAAACATTAGATTTAATAACTATAAATATTATAAAATTATTATATATATAATAAATTTTAATCAAACCTGAATCTTAACAGCTCTTAATATAAATCTTGGGAAAAATCTATGGTTCTGGAAAGATATGATACCAAAAGAACTTTGACCAATCAACCCCTAGTGAATTTATATAAAAAAAACTTGATTGGTTACCACTTTTACGATTTGTACAAGTCATCCAATATCACACAAATTCTTTAAGTCAATTGGCTATAAATAAGGTATAAAAAAAAATCTTTTCACAGCTTCTGTGAAGAATGATGTATTGCAATCAACACCATAAACATGTATTAATTGTAATTTACATTTGTATGCAAAATGCATATAAACGTGGGCTGGGAGGTATTTAAGGGATAGGTGTCAATATACCATGTGATTACTCATTGTGCTTTAATAAGGTGATTACTCAATGTGCTCACTAAGGTGGTGTTTGGTACCATTGAGTATTGCATTGTTGTTTTATGAGAAAACAATAATGAATATTGTTTGGTAGTGTTGCTGTCACCTAAGCAGATGCAATAATACTATACACAAATTTCTTTTTGGTAAAAAAGCGGCATAGTGTTGTTGCCACATCAATAATAGGCAATTCACGGGTTGCTTGTAATAGTTTTTTATTTTTTTTTGAAGGTTTCAATCATGTTTCATTCATTCAAGAGATTGGTAAAAAGAGATGCCAACCAGGCCAAATAAAGACCAGAGATACATTCTCAAGAAGAACAAAACGAATAAATGGAATTTAGGAGAATCAGAATAATTTCTGTAACTAAACCACCATAATTGGTGAGTAAGGTGAGTTAACTTCACCAACAGAAGTGGATAAGAACATCTCCAAATCACCATAACTGGCAAGTAAACTAACAATAGGAGCTACCAACCAAACCGAAAACTGACAGATGAAGTTACACAGCCACAAGCCAAGAACTGTAACTTCTAGCTACGCTAAAAAACTGCAGAATACGCATCATCTGTAACTTCCATCCAGTACACCGAAGAACTGCCAACTGCAAGTTGTCTTCCAAAGAAAACCGAAGAACTGCAACGCCCAACCACAATGCCGGAGAGCGGAACGTCCATACACAACGCCGAAAAACTATAACTACCACCTGGAAAGCCGAATAACTGAAACTACCAACTAGGACGTCGGAGCACATCACAGCCATCCAGGATGTCGGAGAAACTATCGTTTGAGCACTATCTCGGTCAACTGCGATGTCAAAATGCCCGCAGAAAGAAAGCAAACAAAGAAAAGCAAAGAAGATGAGAGAAACAGAGAAAGAAAGGGATGATCCTCGAGAGATCTAGAGAGAGAGAGAGAGAGAGGAAAACATAGAAGAGGGGAAACAAAGAACTTGAGAGAGAGAAGGGGGAAAAACACCAAAAAAGGGAGAAACAGAGAGGGGAAAAACATAGAACAGATGAAAACCTCTCTGAAAACAGAGAGAGACAAACCATGAGAGAACAAGAGAGAAAACCTCATTGGGAACAAAGAGAGACAAAGTGGGGCGAGGAGGGGGGTGTACCAAACAACTCTACTGCGGACTTCGGCGCTTCCCAAGAGACTTCAGTTGCTTGTAATAGTGAGCCATAGCAAGAAATATCATGAAGAATGTTTCACAAAAAAAAAAAAGACTTTCTTGAGTTCCAGGGTGGTACGTTTTTTAGCATTTTTTAAGAAACGGCTTACCAAACAAAAGATTAGATAGTTTAACCAGAAACGCATCATTCTTCTTCTTCTTCTCGCTCTTGCTTGCACATGACTTAAGAACTGTTCTACTATACAAGAAACCCAAACAGAGTTGATAAACTATATGTAACGTGATTTAATGTCTTAGGGAACGTTAAGACAATGAGATGTTTTTGCCGATGTTAGATGTCCCCGCCAGTTAGCTATTAGATGGACAACCCTCACATGGTCTAACTTTTTTTTTTTTCTATTTGGTGCTATGCATCATTGTTCTCCCTGGTCCCTTTTTCCCAAAGCTAGGTGTGGGATTTGATTCTGCATCAATGCTGGAACAAATCAACTAACACACCAATGAGACAACCCTCAGTTGGTGGTACCAGGGTTCAAAGTATTGGAAACGCCAAATGTATTGGAAAGGCAATTTTAAGAGACATATCGGGATACGCCTTGGATACGCATGTATATTGGAGAAAAATTAAGATACACATAGATACGCTTAGAAACACTATAAGTACTTTAATAAATCATAAAAATATATCAACAACACTAAATATAAGACCTCAATGAGGTGTATATACATTAAATTAATATATTTTAATGTTTTTATGAAGAAATATATTATAGCTAATTATAATTTCATTAAATATCTTATGCTTAACTACAATTTATAAATTATAATTCTTAAGTTTTACTGTTTTATGGGATGAGAAAAACCCAACTCTCCTATCCAACCATATAACATGCATTGGCACAACTTCCATGTGAAAATATAATTAATAATTATTTATTGTTTAATAAATATTATTTATTATTCATTTCCAAAAATTATAAAAAATAAATAAACATTTTATAATATATTCAAAAAATAGTTATTAAAGAAGAAATTTCAATTGCTTTGTGGATATGATAGATCATCCATAGAATTATAATATATTCAATCATTGTAATCAAATGATAAAATATAATTAATTAATTAATTATTTTTTTATTCTAAAAAAATTATTAAATAAGAAATTTCAGTTGGTCTGTGGATATGATAGATCATCCATAGAATTATAATATATTCAATTGTTGTGATCAAATGATAAAATATATTTAATTATTATTTATTTTTTTAATTCTAAAAATATAAAAAATCAAAATAAATATTAAAGAAGAAATTTCAATTGCTCTATGGATATTATAGATAAATCCATAGATCTAAAACATATTTAGTCTTTATAGGCAAAGAAAAAACTTACATTTTCAAATTTTTTTGTTAATTTATATTTTCCCCAAATATCTTCATGAAATTTCCATAAATCTACTGATAGCACAAAAAAAATCGTGATTTTGAATGTAAAAAATGTAGATCAACATAAATTTAAACATTCAAGAAAAAATACAAGATATTATAAAAGATTGAAAAAATTACTTATTTTTGCCATATTTTTTCAAAATTTGATAGATCTTTAAAAAAACTAATAATTCACACTTGTTTCTTGCAAACTTTTGCAAATCTAGCACTCTAGGAATGAAGTTTAGAGTCATTTAGGGGTGAAAGAAGGCTTATTTTGGGAAAAAGAAGTTTGTTTTTCCCCTTTAATTTTTTTTTAGTTTTTGGTTGTATCTTTTTCATCGATATGCCCCGATACACCCCCAATATACCCCCGATAGGCCCCCGATACAAGTCCAATACTCATGAAAAAAGACAAAATGTCCGATTTCTATTTGTATCCAAGGTTTAAAATTTCGATACGATACGCCCGATACGGGGCGTATCGTGTCGTATCGTTTAAAAACTAATACAATATACGCATGGAAATTGGACATTTCGTCTTTTTCATGCATATTGGACCCGTATCAGGGGCATATTGGGGCGTATCGGGGCATATCAGGGGTGTATTGGGGTGTATCGGTAACGTATCGACGAAAAAGATACGACCAAAAACTAAAAAAAAATTAAAGGGGGAAAGCAAGCTTCTTTTCACCGAAAAAGCCTTCTTTCACCCTCAAATTATTCTAAAACTCCAAACTTCATTCCTAGAGTGCTAGATTTGCAAAATTTTTCAAGAAACAAGTGTGAATCGTTAATTTTTTAAAGATTTTTCAATTTTTGAAAAAATATGGCAAAAAAAGGTAATTTTTTTCAATTTTTTTATAATATCATGGTTTTTTTTTCTTGAATGTTTAAATTTATGTTGATCTACATTTCTTACATTCAAAATCACAATTTTTTTGTGCTATCAATAGATTTATGAAAAATTCATGAAAATATAAATTAACAAAAATTTTGAAAATATAAGTTTTTTCTCTGCCTATAAAGACTAAATATGTCTTAGATCTATGGATTTATCTATCATATCCATAGAGCAATTGAAATTTCTCTTTTAATTTTTTTTGATTTTTTATATTTTTAGAATTAAAAAAATAAATAATAATTAATTATATTTTATCATTTGATCATAACAATTGAATATATTATAATTATATGGATAATCTATCATATCCATAGACAAATTAAAATATCTTCTTTAATAATTATTTATTTTTTATTTTTTTATAAATAAAAATAAATAATTAATTAATTATATTTTATCATTTGATCACAATGATTGAATATATTATAATTATATGGATGATCTATCATATCCAAAATTGAAATTTCTACTTTAATAACTATTTTTTGAATATATTATAAAATGTTTATTTATTTTTTATAATTTTTGGAAATGAATAATAAATAATATTTATTAAATAATAAATAATTATTAATTATATTTTCACATGGAAGTTGTGCCAATGCATGTTATATGGTTGGATAGGAGAGTTGGGTTTTTCTCATCCCATAAAACAKTAAAACTTAAGAATTATAATTTATAAATTRTAKTTAAGCATAAGATWTTTAATGAAATTATAATTAGCTATAATATATTTCTTCATAAAAACATTAAAATATATTAATTTAATGTATATACACCTCATTGAGGTCTTATATTTAGTGTTGTTGATGTATTTTTATGATTTATTAAAGTACTTATAGTGTTTCCAAGCGTATCTTAATTTTTTTCCGATATATATGCGTATCCAAGGTGTATCCCGATACATCTCTTAAAATTGCCTTTCCAATACATTTGGCGTTTCCAATACTTTGAACCCTGTTCATATTCTATATCATTTTTTCAAAGATACGATACAACACGCCCCATATCAAGTGTATCATATCAAAATTTTAAACATTGAGTGATACACATGGTCTAACTCAAATACTCAATTTAATAAGGTAAATTTCTCATCCCCATGTTAGAAGTTCCAGCCAGTTAGCTATTAGATTTAAGTGAATCATACAAAGCACCTCGATAAACACAACTTGGATTTGTGGACTAAGAAAAAACTACACTCAACAGGGCACATACGAACTGTTACACTGTTTCTTATTAGACCCTCTGAATCTCTGATTAGAAATTTGGAACAGCATGGACCAAGAAGAAATAAACAAAGAGAAAAACGGTCACAATCACAAAATCATCGTTATTGCCGTTATGTCATGAACTGAACCTGTCACTGCCAACTGATTGGCAATGGAGCTCATATAAAATCTTATAATTATGATTTGTGAAATAAAAAGAATTGTCACCTCTCTCCCTCTCACACACACATGTCCCTTAGCTCGAGCTACCAAGGTCAGTATCACTTCCATCATCTACACCATAAAAGGAATAACTCATGGTAAAATAAATCACAAGTGATTGGGAAGAGTGCTGCAAAGAATAAAAGAATATGTTATGACGTTATAAGATGAAAACAAGGAATGTTGTTAGGAAAACCTAAGGATAAGCATCTCCAAAAAGAAAAAGGTGCAGGAAAAGTCGGCTTTTGTGAATGGAGACAAACCATTGCACTCGAACTACAAAGTTAAGTAATTGAGGTATAACATATTAAAAGATTTATACTATACACCGAGAAATACTAAAAAATTGGCATTTTCTTTCTGTGAATGAGCACTCAGGCAGTATATTGGTTTTTCTATTAATTGATCAAACTCAAACAGGGTACACTTAATCAAAATTTAAAAATTCCAATGAAAATAGTAATTGATCTATTAAATGATACAAAAAGGCTTAATAAAATCCGTATCAATAATTTTTTATTTCAATTTCCAACTCTCTGTGGAATAAAGTGGTGAGCATCTTAGGTTTCCCATAAACAGAACTTTATTTTATTGCCTTGGTAGATTCCAGCTTGTGAGAAAGAGAAACTAGTTCAAACAGAATTCATGGCTAGAGCCCACTGATTGGGACTCTTCCTACAACCATGAATACAAATACAAGACATGTAAATTGATAATTGAATTCTTTGATACAGCTTATGTATACAGTTCTTCGATGTTGCACTCCCCAAGGAAAACTTTGATGCTCTTAGGTGAACCACAGTTGCCCTCAGCAATAAGTGCTCTATCATTGGCTGCCACGTGCGCGACAATCTTGAATATCATTTCAATCTGTTGAGAATAAAGAAAGAAACAATGAGAAGAGAGCAATCCTATACACATTTAGAAAACGAACTAAACACTGCCAAGGAACAGTTGGGATTTTGATACATACATCAGCAGGAGCATGGCAAAGGTCAGCTATCTCTTCCACTGTCAAAGGTTCCACAGGCTCCTTGCAACTGAAAACAGAAAAATGTACAAACAATAAGTACTTAAAGCAATGAACTAGATGAGAATGATTCAAAGAACGAGGAATTATGTGTAAGATGAAAACAAAAATAGGGCAACAGATACCACTGGGGAGAAAACAATAGTTTATTATTTAAAAGAATGCCACATGTCACTATTTATGTTAGCATTCACACTCAATATCCCTCAATGGTTTTCCTACTTCCAACTCAAATATAGACTAAACAAAAATATTGAAATAGAATAAACAAAGAAATTAGTCAGGCCTCTAGGTAAGTCCAACACACACACACACACAAAGTAAATTTCACAACTCATAGTGTGGGTCAAAAGCCTCTCTTCAAATGTCAATATTTGACACTTGACCACTTTAACCAATTTGCCAATTATTTAAATTGAACCTGTAGCCTGTAGATCTTCTAGAAGGACCACTCCCAGCATATAATCATTAATCAACCTGAAAATTGAGTAGCTATTAGTAAATTTCTTGAGCTGCCTTTCACAATTCACAAATAGGATGGCTAAGAAGCTGATTGATTTTTTTACTGGCCTGCATATTTTATCTCTAGAATTTGTAACTTTTCTTTGGTTCTCTTCCTTTTCGTCAATCATCCAATACATGGGTTTTTTTTTTTATTTCTTTTGAAGGGCTACACAAGGAGGGTAGCCCATTCCCCAACCCAGGTGCAGGCAGGATTCAATCCCAAGTCTCCGCTAGAACCAGCAGGAGACCTTACCAACCCACTGGTTGGCATCTTGCATCCAATACAAGGGGTATTCCCCAAATGGAAAATAGACAAAGAGGTGTATCAAGTGTAGGATATTTCTAATCTTGGTTACTTATATGGCAGTCAACTTTAGAAGGATCATTAGAAGGTGCCAGTTGGCTCACAAAATGGCAATTACCCCCTGCATATACCCAAATATCAAGTAAATATATGCCCCCACTTAGATTACCAATAGTTCTCCCACTCTTGCATGTTTAGCATAGGACCACTTCACCTAAGTCCAAGAGAACTCCATTATCTTCAGTGTGCCATTCTAAACAAGTTAAATGTCCTACAAATAAGCCAATCTAAAGATTTTTGCTACTGATCTAAACCATCCTAACAGTGTTTAAGGACAGTTTGGTCCTTAAAAGAGGTTTGAGTATACCATACGATTGTCAAGGTTAAATTTTCCATCATGAAAATCTATGTCATGTTAATCTTACAAAGTGAGGATATTGTTGCAAGTGCTAAGTAACTTGAGGTAAATGTAGGGTAATTTCATAAACCTGAGGTAAATGTTTAGGAACTTCAGATAGAACATCTGTAATTTACTCCATAGACAAAATGAGTGAGTTATGGAGCTAGTCTTTAGTTTCTGATAGGGTTCAAAATCCAGGGACTGGATTGTGTATGGTCAGTCTACGTCAAGCAAGTTCAAAGAGATAAAAATTCAAACTGACCAATATGAAGAGGCCTATTAGATGTCTTCCGCCCTGGTAGGGTTGGGTTGGGTTTCAGATAGGTTGTGGTTCAGGTCAAATGAGGTATCATAGTATAAAATGTATACAAATATTTTCACTTAGAAGTTTTTGGGAGTTGAACCCACATCCTAGAAACCTAGCTTCAATGCTGAATGGGGCTCTCAACCCTGATGGGGCTTTGCAGATAACCAGACTTCTCATGTCCTAAAGTGTAGGGAATTTAGCTTCTCTGAAAGAGGAAAATTGTAAAATTGATTATCATCACAAAAAACAGGAGGTCGCTTTTTTATAGTTATAAGGAGGGCCTTTTAATTTTGAAGAAATGCACTTCAATCCTAGTTTACTGTTGACTTGGATTTGAAGCATACCTAGCTTCATTTAGTACAGCCAAAACCCTCTTCTGAAGAGCTAATACTTCTGCTGCTGCCTTTTTCCCAGCTTCTACACCTGAAATTTGTATTAAAAACACAGAAGGAGAAATTCGTCAGATGCATCTAGACAGGATGTACCATTTACCAATATAGAATGTATCAGAAGTCTTCCCAAAATGTGTTCCAAAACAATAATGAATATGAGGAAAAAAGAAGCAAAATTTTACCAGGTTGGTGATAAGCATTGATGTTGACCAATGAAGCATAGATCCCAACAGCTCGTTCATACAATGCTATTAAGGCCCCCACAGATCTCGGATTCACTTCTTGCACTGTGACTGTAATAGATTCTCGATTATTGGCATAAAGGGCTGATCTTGTCCCCTGTAAAAATTTATATCAAGTTACATAAAAAGACCAAATGGCAGGAAAACCTTATAAGATTTACACTTATGCTAAATGATCGTGCATAACATTAACCGGTAGCAGAAACAAGGAAAATATCTGATACATCAACTTAACCATTACTAGGGGTTTAAACAGATTGAATTTGAATAAAATCAAGCAATATTTGAATTCAAATTCAATTAAATATTTGAATGTTCAAATTGATTTGAATTTGAACAATTTATTAGTTTAGGTAATTAATGTATATATAATATAAATATCTTAGATTATATATAAGAATTATACACATGTATGTAATCAGTTCGGATATTTATCAAATTGAATCAGGTCATATCCAAATCCAATTCAATTATGTCGAATATCGAATTTGAACTCATATTTTTGGATACTGCTGACACCCCTACTAATTGACAATGCTAATTAATAATAATAACATTAGGCATCTAGCAGGATGAAAAAAAAATGTTTAGTAATTTCCATCCGGAAATTGCACAATTCTAGTATGGCATATGTGAGTCAGTCATGCTTATCAGATTAGAATAGTAACATGTTCATTTTGCAGTTAAGAGATCTAAAGCTAAAATGGTAGATTGCCTTCACTGTTGTGACAGAAAATAAAGATGAATTCCAACCAGAGTACTAAAACAAAAACTAGTAAGAGCAGTAAATAATATAGCAATAAATAGGACAGCAATGAAAAGGTCTAGGGTTGGCTGAACCACACAAGAGAAAAAAAAATGTTTCACTCAAATAGAACAATGAATTTTTTATTTACAAAACATTGTGCACATTGTTAACTTGTTATTTCTACAGAACTATATATAAATCCCTCCAAAACCTACTAAAACTCAAAAGATACACATAAAACTCCTACTGGACTATCAGATGACAGAAACTGTAGTGGTCCCATGACTCAAATCCCAACAATAACCTGAAAAATTGTATTGTTAGTTTCCTAAACGAACCCTAACTCCCAAGGAAAAAGACAACCGAAACCCTATAGACTTGATCAATATAGAGGGTGATTTTAACAGAATACTTATTGAGCCATGAGACAGATAAACAGTTTGCACAGCAACACAATGCCTGCCATATATCCAAAATTCAAGCCAAATCAATGGTTGGATGATGAGGTAAAATTGTACAAATTAAGGGTGCAAATCAGATACCTGATTTTAAGAATTTCTACTGCATTTAGGCCTGGATACTCGGGCTGGGCCCTTTACATTTTAACAAATTCTCTGCCCAGGTCCCAAAAGACACCAAAATATGGTAATAACTAGTACTGTAAAGTGTAAACCAATCAAACAACCATGAACCATCTTGTTTCAAGTGCATTTCTTTGCTTTTGAAGAATTTGTGAACTGCATGAGAATATATTCTGTAAGCAGTTCAAGTTTAAATCATACATTTCAAATTATCAACCATATGATGTTAATTAGTTTGCCTATTTATAATTGAGATGTGTGCAGTGCAAGGATCTCACATGATATTAAGTGCAGTCACCATCTTTAATTAAGAAAACAAACATGTATATATGATAGAGCAATGACACACTATTTTACTTAAGACAGTGTACCAGAGAGATTTCATAGGATTAAAAATTCAAATCACAAATAAGAAACAGCAAATGAAACTTCATTGAATTCCTATTGAAAGGGATTAACTTAGGATTTAGATAATTACAGTTAAGCAGCGATATGACCCATAGAATCCAGATTGTGAGCTTTGAGATCAAATCCAGTGACCGAAAAAAAAAAACTCTAAAACATTCCTTTCCTCCCTTTGGATGCATTTTAAATACTCAAAAAAGTGAAAATTTGGCATGCCAAGCATCTCTCAATCACTTTACCTTAGGCTTAGTTTGGGAGAGTGCAAATACAAGGTTTAGAAATACTGCATACAAGGATTTGCACAGTACGTATTTGTATTTGCACTCTTCCCAAACTGAGCCTTAACTACAAAAGAACTTTTATGTTACAAAGGATTGAAAATTAACTTCAATATCTTCACATATTAGTTTATTACCCACTCAATCAATTGACTCATCCACAAGGTTAACTAAAACCAGATTGAGAAGATCCAAAAATTATTTACCAGAAATTGTTTTGTTTTATAGATGAACATTATAAAATCCCTTCTTACCCCTCCCTCAATACAAATAAAAAGGATTATTATCTTCTAATAGAAAGGATTCAGAATTCAGTCTACTTAGTTTTCCTCCCTTTCCTGCTCCAATACAAGACAAGGAAGAGTATGATAAAGCCATAACCATATTACTAAAAAAATGTGCAAATAGGCGCCTATCATTATGCAATGATAGATGCACAAATATGCAATTGTAAATGAGATCCTGAAAACTTAACTTTTTTACTTTCTTGGATCAGAAAATTTAAAACTACATATTAAACCATGAAATATTAGAAAACTGACCTGTAGCATTCCAAACAAATAATCACCACATGTGACACCTGGTTCCAGCTCCCAATCATGACCAGGGGGCCTATCACGTAATACTTCAATGAAGGTAACAAAGAAGTTGTGTACCCCCTCCCTCAGTTGTTGAATGTAGCTGTACAGGAAGGGAACTGCAAGTGTAGGCTTAACCAATCTTAACATATAAAATGTATATTGTAGGAAACAAAATGCAAGAAAAAACCTACGCATGCTGATCAGTGCTCCCTTTGTTCCCATAGACTGTAAGCCCTTGATTCACCTGCCAAAGTGAAAAAAAAAATTATATAGCGCAAACTCTATGGGAAGTTTTTATCTATATATGAACTTTACATTGCAGGGAGTGCCACATGCTATTGAATTTCTATATGGAGAAAATTCCTGCTGCGAAAAGTAGAAGGAAAAGATTTCTAACAGAACCAAGCATCATGAATGTAAGAAATAGTATGAATATTGGAAGTAGTTTCCCACCTAGTTGCATCTTGCATGGCCCTGTAAGAACATCTATATCTTTCCCAGTACAGGACACATCACACAGATGCCCCACCCAGACAATATTCATACATTGTTCCCCCATAGTAATTGAAGGAAACATGCAATGCAAATTCAAGCCAGAAAAATAATACTTCAGGCCTTGGGACACCTACAACTACTACAGTAAAGAAATCCATCTTTCCCAGTACAGGGCACATCATGGAGATGCCCCACCCAGACAATATTCTTACATTGTTCATCCATAGTAATTGAAGGAAAACATGCAGTGCAAACTCAAGCCAGCATAATAAGACCTCAGGCCCTGGGATACCTAGAACTACTACAGTAAAGAAACCCATGTTTAACAGCACCAAAATGCATTTACAAACTTCACTAACCCATGAGGCCTCCCTTACCCATGTCAACTTCTAGAATTTTTTAAAATTATAGCATATGATTAAGTTTCGTTCTGGTTATTCCTTGACAGTATACAAAATAGGATAAAATATTTAAAGTACCCATAAGTTTTGCAAAATGGACTAAGTAACACCCTCTGGTTTCAATAATCCCTTAAAGTACCCTTCAGTTTCCTAAAAATAGGACATCACCGATCACCGTTATCTCCTGATGGAAGTGCACAAATGTCTATATTGACCCTCATTATTTTTCAAATTTTCAAAACATGGCAAATGAACTTCCACTTTTTCTTCTAAACAATTCCTACCTTGGTCTTCTTGGAAGGACTCCTCTGAAGCCCCAACTTACAAATGATCTGATAAAACTGATTTAAACAAGTATAAGAAAAGATGTAACAACAGAGAAAAAGAAAGGAATGTTTGGTGTATCATGCAGATCCGGTAGAGAGAACATGTGAGCGACTTTTCTTCTTCTCTGACCAAACCCTTTCTCCTTCTATTCTCTTCTTTCTCTTCTTCTTCTTCTCTTCTTACTTACTTCAGACCTAGAACTGAACTAGGGTTAATCGAATCATTCACATGGTATCAGAGCCCTAGAAAATCAGTTTAGGACTCAGTTTTTTTTTCTCCCTCCGTCCTCCTGAGATCGCCATATCAGAACTTCTCTTTGAAGTAACTCGTAAATGAATTGGAGGATTGATAAGGGACCAAAAAGGAGTGGTCGTTTTTCCTTCTTGGAGGTAAATATGCCTCCAGTTGCTGTCATGGTGGTTTGGTAGAAACCCTCTAATCGATTACACGAAGGGGGCTGGTTGTGGGCAAGTGTGAACAGAAATCTATAATCGGTTGATAGTGGAGTGTGTTCTCTCTCTTTTGGGCTGGATTTCGTCCATGTTGCAGTGTTGATTGGGAGGTATGCATATGAACCTTTTTTTTTCTGTTTATGCCTGGATATGAATGGTGATAGTAGGGTTTTCAGGTGCTGAACCCATGACAGCAGCAGTGTCATCATAACAGTACATTATTGTGTGGTGTGTGGTGTAGTGCTGAATGGTAAAGGGTGATTTTTGCTTATCGTAGTTGGAATTTTTTTGTGGTGTGAGGTGATTTTGTTATAATGGCAACAACTGGAGAGGGTAGTGATAATAAGACAGGTGTTATGATTTCTCCTGGTTACCTGAATGTTCAAATGACCTCTATCAAATTAATGGTGAGAACTATGTGTCATGGGCTAAATCAGTGGAAGTGTTCTTGAGAGCCAAGAAAAAGGTGAAACATGTGAGAGAGGAGAAACCCTCTTCTGACTCTCTAGGGTTTAGTGAATGAGAATAGGAGGATGCACAGATTATGACCTGGTTGTGGAATAGTATGGAACCTAAAATTAGTGTGAATTTTATGTTCCTGGATACAGCTAAGGAAATTTGGAACCATACTAAGAAACTTTATTCTGGCCAAGATAATACCACTAGAGTGTACCAACTTTACTAGGAGTACTTCAACCAGAAACAGGGTAATCAAAGCTTAGAATAATACTATGCAAGCACGAAAAACCTCCGTAATGAGCTTAATGTGTATAACCCTCTAACTCCATATGTTAAAATTCAGCAGCAACAACGAGAGCAACTTGATGTGACAAGGTTTTTAGTGGGTTTAAAACCCGAATATGAACCTGTTCGAGCAAAAATATTAGGTGGATCTGCTCTCCCCTCTCTTGAGGAAGTGTTTGCCCAACTTCGGAGGATTTCTATTGAACCTACAGAGTCTTCCTCTCTCTCTTGAACAGGTCTAGTTTTGTAGTGATAAGAGGGGGAGGTTGTGGAAATAGAGGTGGTGGAGGTGGTTGTGGAATTCTAGGGACCTGAGGTGATCCTATGTTTAATCGTACTGGTGGCTACAGTGGAGGTCGAGATTCAGGGGGAGGTTGTGGTAGAGGAAGAAGTACTGGTACTAGGAGGTGCACATACTGTGGATTAGAGGGACATACTGTTAACTTCTGTTATGACTTACATGGTCCACCCAACACTTGGGCCAATCATGCCATGACTAGTGGTAGTGGTACAGTTAGTGAGAACTAGTAGGCTGATCAGACTCCTTCTACATCTACTGGTGCTTCTAATTAGGAAATGGTGAGTGTCCCACGTGAGGAGTATAAGAAGTTTCTTCAGACATCCTCTCAGTAGAACACAACTACTCTTGCACATTCAAGTATGGCTTGCTTGGCTTCCAAACCCTCACATTGGATTATTGACTCTAGAGCCTCTGATCATATGACTGGGACTCAAGGTGTGTTTTCTTCACTTTTTCAGTCTTCTACATCCCAAACAGTTACCCTTGCTAATGGCTCTACCTCTCCCATTTGTGGTGTTGGTGATGTTGATCTTACCCCCTTATCTTTATCCTCTGTTTTATATGTACCAAAGTTCCCTTTTAATCTTATGTCTATTAGTAGATTAACCGTCACTTAATTGTTCTATAACCTTTTATCCCTCTTCTTGTGTGATTCAAGATCTCAAGAAAAGGATGAAGATTGGTGGAGGGCATGAGGCAGGTGGATTGTATTATCTTGACGATGGTGGTTCGAAAGTAGCTCTTCAGTCCACTCTTACTCCTCTCCAACGGCACTGTATCGTCGCTCAAGGCCCTGAAGTTATTGGTCTCATCTTTAAGTCGCCTTTCATCGTTGGATTGTGAGCCGTGTCAGCTTGGGAAACACCATAGAGTCTCTTTTGGTCCTAGAGTTGATAGTCGTGTTTTGAGTCATTTCTCTTTAGTCCATTCAGATGTTTGGGGTCCAAATAAAGTAGTGCCATACAATGGTTATAAGTATTTTGTAATTTTTGTTGATGATTATTCAAGGATGACATAGCTCCATCTTATGAAAGACAGAAGTGAATTGTTCTCAATTTTTCAAAAGTTTTATGCTGAAATTCGTACCCATTTTGGAGTTCATATTAAAATTCTTCACTTGGATAATGCAAAAGAATACACCTCAACACCATTTCAGCAATACGTAGAGCACCATGGGGTAAATTCACCAAACTTCTTGTTCTTATACCCCACAACAGAATGGCGTGGCTGAACGGAAGAATCGACACTTGAAATTGCTCGGTCCATTATGCTTGATGTGAATGTTCCAAAGCGTTTTTGGAGTGATGCTGTCCTTACATCATGTTTTCTCATCAACCAGATGCCCATGTC